GGGGCCGCACAACGCTGCGTATACGCAATAAAATAAACGCGCCGCAGTTACAATTTTGCGCGCTGTTCGCGCTCGACGCGGCGCACATTTTATGCCGCATTGCCAGTTTTATTTATTTATTTTTATTTGCCCAGCGCCCCTTTATTCATGCATTTATAAATTATTGTTGCGTCCCCCCCCCTCCCCCCCTCCTGCTGCCTAAGCATGTACTTATGTATTTGTATTTGTTTGCTTGTATGCGCGTGTATGTCACTTGAAGTGCTTTGCATTTTCAATTTGCCAGCTCACCTCCTTCTGCTAAAAATAATAACAGAAAAGTGAGAGAGAAGAGCATTACATATTTGTATTAAAAATTTATGATCTAATGAGCTCTACTCCTCACACACACAGCTAACGTTGGTAAAGTGCCTGTCAAATAAATTAACCAGTTGTTTAGCAATTTGCCTGCTTTAAATTTCAATCTGCTGTAAGTCAAGTCGAGCACTTCATTTTGAACTGCCTGCCCTTGTGATATGCTTATGTGGAGTACTGCACTCGAGTTGTCATTACCCTCCATTAAAGTCGACTTCAAATGAAAGCAGCTTCCGCTTTCACGTCTCCCCTCCCCTCTTACCCAGCAGCTACGTTCAACTGGAGTTCATTGTGCTGCTGCTATTTTGGGCGCTGTCAGTATTTCTTTCCCATTACGGTCTATCAATAATGCTTGGGCTTTAAACAAATATATATATGTATGTATGCTAACTCATCATTCAGCCACATCATCAGCATCATCATCATCATCATCATCGACATAATCGACATGATGATCACGCGCAACCATCAACTTGATGCTACCCCTGTGACATTGTCAAAAGGGTTTAAGTGCCAGCTCTTGAGCAGCGAACAGCCAGCTACGAGCAGGAGCAGCAGCAGCAGCAGCAGCAGCAGGAGAAGCAGCAGCTGACAGTCATCCCCTTATTGCTAGACAAATATTCAGGCAAAGGTTTGCTTTGAGCGTTCTGGGAACGTGACGAGCAACTTGTACGCTCAGCTCTATAATCTTAAAGCAATGATACGCCTAGCTTTAAGCCAACTGCTTCAATTTATTGGGCATAAATATTCCATCGATTTGGGCTGGCATAGAAAATTAGCTGACAGGTGAAAGCTGATGGGAAAATAACTAAATATTGAATTTTAAATACATATGTGTGATTGAATGCTTTAATGAGCATAAATCAAAATCCCCTGTATGAATTTCTATACCTAGAAAATACTCTTAAAATTAATAT